TTCTCAGAATTCTGACTTTTTTCTCAGAATTTTTACTTTTTTCTCAGAATTCTGACTTTAATCTCAGAATTCTGACTTTAATCTCAGAATTTTGATTTTTTTTCTCAGAATTCTGACTTTAATCTCAGAATTCTGACTTTAATCTCAGAATTTTGACTTTTTTTCTCAGAATTTTGACTTTAATCTCAGAATTCTGACTTTAATCTCAAAATTTTGACTTTTTTTCTCAAAATTCTGACTTTTTTCTCAGAATTCTTACAATAAAAAAAAGTCCGAATTCTGAGATTAAAGTCAGAATTTCATACTAAACTGAAATGCAATTTTAAAATCAGTAAACTTTTTTTTTTTCCAGTGGCCCTAATCCTCTTCCATATAAAAGAACAATGTATTTGAGTATTTTATTTATTTACACTACGACTTGGAATTATGGGTAATGATGAACAGAGTGAACATATTACGTACGTACGTGATGTGCGTGCAGCGTGCAAGACGTCACATCACGTAGACTAAAACCAGAGCGTAGATTAAACCATAGCCGTTACGTACAATGTGTTAGCGACGATGGATACCAAAAGGAGGTACTTATGCCGATTCCAGAAAAGAAAAAGGAAGAGAGAGAGGATGACATTGCTGCTTCTATCAGTTCAGTGACTAAAGATTGTGACCGGGTTCCTGGATTGGTCTGTCCGGCATCTGCGTCGCACTTTGTCAGTAGTGTGTAAAGTGATAACGTTTAAAATACATGCTACGTCTGTTCTGCCGTCACCTACGTGTTTTCATGGATGTGGTGGTGCGTGTCACCAATGGTTCCATTCACGGTGCGCAGTCACTATTTTTTAGTGTGTGATCATAAACTACTGAGAATTTAATAATTTGATCTTCTAGGCTGATTTATGGAACAGTCGCCGTATCCTGAACATTTATCACTTGTTGTACTTCATATGGGGCCACCCAGATAGTGCTGATTAAGGGCCTGTTGTTGTGTCGTTATGCCGATGCTGCAGGAAAGTAAGAACTGCAGGTGATTACAGCAGAGTTCAAAGGGGAAACACATCAACACAAATGAAAAAAAACTGTAAAAAAACGTAAAAGGATTAGGACGGAAAATCAAGAAATGACAAACTAATTGAGAGAAATGAAACTACGGTGGGCAATGAGGGCCAAAAGAGGAGACATCTGACCATCCAGTCCTGACAGGGCGTCATATTCCTGCTGCTTCTTCTCCGCCTCCGGCTGCTTCCTCAGCTGGGACACCTGGGAGATGTAGTCCTCGCTGTAGTCCAGAGGGAAGTCCAGATCGGGGAACAAAGACGAGGAGGGGAGGCTGGCGGATACGGCGGCCCTGTGGCGGGGCAGAGACTGTGAGGAAGAGGAGGATGAAGGGGAGGAGGTGAGGTAGAGGGACATCAGGTCCTGGAGCAGCTGGCGGTCCCGCTCCAAAGACCGCTCCTTGTGGAAGGTCGGGTTATCATCCAGGGAGTTGAGGGAGCGCTCCTCCTGGTCCTGGTAGCCGAACTGACACAGACACAGAATGTCAGTCCCTCCTGTGGCCAGCAGGGGGCCCCCCACCATGGGTTCACGCTAGGCTAGCCGGCTCCTACCTTATGGTAGCTGTATGGCTCCAGCAGGGGAGTCTGCATGTGGACGGAGGACCGGGACGGATCCAGGACCATGTAGTCCAGGTACTGCTGCATCACCTCAGGGTCAGCTGGACCTTCAGGATCCTGGACCCTCTGAGCAGCAGGACCCATCAGCCTGAAGGACCTGAGAAACAAACAGCTGACCCACCTGGGATGTTTTCTACCAACAGCCGGGAGACGGGAACTTTCTTACTGTTTAGAGGATCCCTGTTCCGGTTTGGGAGCCGCGGTCGGAACGTGGCTCAGCTCGCGGCCGATGACGGCCTGCGTCAGATCGTCCTTCCACGTCAGACCTGAGGTTTCGCCACATCCCATGTTAAACGCCGCATCCGAAGCAGGAAAATGATCTGTTGCCGTGTGCGGATACTCACCCTGCACCATCAGGTCTTTGAGGACTTCCTGCAGCTTGTGCAGAACCGGCACGGAGACCCGGTACTGGACGGGCTCCTGGTGCGGAGCCCGGCACTGTCCGAACAAACCATCTAAACAGAAGGAAACCATCTGAGCATCTCTGGAAACATGAGGCCCATCCAATCAGGAGAACTAGAACCTCTTCACTGCCCTGTTATATTAGCAGCACAGCTCAGTACTTGAAAGTCCCATCCCCGAGGATGATGCAGCCACCGCCGTGCTTCACTGTTTTTGATGTACTGCGGTATTTTAAAGCCAAATTGGACTGATTTTTAGTTTGATGGACACAAACTAATCATCTTCCTCTTTAATCCTCTCTAACCTCTCGGTAAAATGTACCTTCAGGATCCAAAGAAACGTTAAGAAAAGCTTGAAAGAATTTTGGACTGATTAAACGAGGCTGTGGATTGTTTTCTCCATCAGCTGCCTGTTCGATGAAGGACACTGATACTGTAGCTATGGTTATGTTTTATACTCAGACACTGACTGCAGTTTATCCTCTCAGCAGGTTTTACACTTTACTGCTCGGTTGGCATGGTGCCGCAGCGATTACTGAGATCATTACTGCATCATAAGCTTCAGACATCTGGAAGGACAACTAGGCGCTTCTTCAATGCAGGCAGGAGGAAGTTTGTGGAACAGAAGAGCAGAGATGGTAGAGAAGGAAAAGCTGCTGCTGAAGGTGAGATCCTCCTCATCCTCAGAGTTTACAGCCCAGAAGCGGAGCGGCGTCAGAACAGCAGCTCGTTCACGCAGGCCGCGGTGAGTCATCCCCATCAAACACGTCGGGGAGACACACCGTCCTCAGGCTACTGATGTCACCGTTGTCACGGAGACGGCCAGGCCCAGCCACGATTGGTCTAAACGGAGGCCTTGTTTACGCTGCTCTCCCTCTGTCGCTTCGTCGCCTCCTCCCTGCTTCCATCTTTGTGCCACGGAGGCAAACTGGCACACATGCAGCACTGCAGCGTCTGATTCAGCACAAACTGACGGGTGATACTGGGAAACATACGGCGCTGGAACAAAATCTAAAACTAGACAAGAAATATTTTCTTAAAATAAATGTATTTTTTCTTGAATTGAGGAGGAAAAAGAGACATTTTGCCAATGGAACAATACAAGTTTATATATAAAAAAAAAAGAAATTGCATTGTCTTATGCAGTTTATCTAATTATCTTATTTTAAAAGAAAAATACTCCATTACTCCAATACTCTATTGGCAAACTATCTCATTTACCTACTTAAATTAAGGGGTAAATATGCTTAATTTAAGAGATTTGTACTGATTTCTAGATCGTTTTTCCAGAGTAGGTGTTAAAATACAATAAAACCTGCTTAAGTTCAGCTTAAAAACCTCATTTTAAGTATTAATCTGAACATAAAACAAGCAATGTCCTAATTTCACTTCTTACACTGCAAAAATGTAAGTCTAAATAAGTAATTTTTTCTTGAATTGAGGAGTTAAGTGAGACACTTTGCCAATGGAACAAGACAATATACATTTGAAAGAAGAAAAAACAATCGTATTGTCTTATTTGAAGTGCATAATATCTAATTATCTTAATTTAAGTGTAAAAATACTCATTCCATTGGCAAACTATCTTATTTACTTGCTCCAACTAAGGGTTGATACACTTAATTTAAGAAAGTTTTACTTAATTTCATATCCTTTTTGCAGTGTATGCGGGAAACGACAGCGGACATTATTAATTAAGCTGTTTTAAGATCTCATCTTTTAATTAAAAGCAATTTATCATGCTTACGTTCAGGTTAAAAGCAGAATATTTGTTAGTAACTGACCATTAAACAGTAACATCAGAGTGTGGATCTGATATTCTTTGCAGCCATTTTCATGTTCCGATGTTTTTAATGTCTTTACTATTTTGACTTATGTGTCCGATTATATTTACAGAGAAATAATCAATATCTGTGGTTATTTCAGAGCAGGCTGTAAAACTGAGTTTCATCTAATCTGTTTATATCCTGGAACTGAATCTGTTTTGCTGTGGAATATCTTCATAGTCTTTTCGTTTGTATATTAAATCGGATTTACATAAAGGTGGAAAACTCACCATCGGCGCAGAGCTGATCTCTGGGACACAACTTCTTCTCAAACAAACAACCTGCAGAAAGAAAAAAAGATTTTCAGATCTTAAATCAAACCAGAGAACTCTTTAAAGGTGATAAATAAAAAAAACCCTAAAACAATGAATTCTTAGTTTGAATGTTTTCAGGACCATTTAAAAACACGACATTTTGGTCAACTTCTGCAAGCGGATTTTAGTCGTTATTAGAGTCGGTCTAAATGGATCACAGATCGTTCAGCAGGTCTTTGCAGAGGAGGAAACAACCTTTACTTTGATTCAAAAAAAGTTTAAAAAACAATCCACTGGATTTTTGTTTCCAAGTTATAAGATGTTTCTCTTCCCATCCAGGAAGCTTTCTCAATTCAAAATGTCAGAAATATCTTTGAGTTTAAGGCTTTATAGAGTCGACCAAAAACAAAAAGCCTTGGCTCCAGCCTGCTCTGCAGACCTAGAACCAGAACTAAACATGGAGAAGCAGCATTTAGTTCCTATGCTCCAATTATCTGGAACAAACTTCCAGAAAACTGTAAAAGTGCGGAAAGCCTGAGTTCCTTTAAATCAAGACTAAAAACACATTTGTTTAGGATTGCCTTCGACTGTTCTAGTTAAACACTTAAACTAAAACATATTTCTTTAATCCAACTGTTTTTAATAAACTTTTTTGTTTCTGCATTTTTTATCTTATTTTATTTATTTTTTTTTTTTTTTTTTTTTTTTTTTTTTTTTTTTTCCTATTTGCTTTCATTCTGTTTTATCTTACTGTATTTTAATCATGTAAAGCACTCTGCATTGTCTTTGTACTGAA